ATTCCTGAACGACTTCTAACTGACCCCTGCCAAGGGTCAACATAGGGGTGGGTCCCTGCCGATTTTGGAGAAATTCGCATTTCTATGAAGTAAAGCATAGCCCAAAACGATAGACAGTCAGTGTTAATCGGTCCAGTGCAGCCTGGCATGTTAGGGCGCTGTCACATCTGAGGGCAATGTCGTGTGCATACTGCAACGCAAGGAGTCGCTCAGCAGGAATTAGCTCCACACTTTCCGGATCGTGTCCAGTGAACGCTCTTTTCGTGACCTCAACAATAAAGAAGTTAAAGAGGAAAGCCGAAACCAGGCAATCTAGTTTTCACACCGCTGGAGATATTGAAGAGCGGCGACCGTTTGTCATAAACCATCACTCCGCTCGAATTTTGCGCCTACAGCACTTTGATCAAGTTTACTTAATTATCGGACACCCTTCCACTCAGACAGTCCCAAAGGGCATATCGATCCAAGGACTCGAACGCACCTTCCATGTCGAGAAACATGTCAATGGTGGTTAGCCAATAAAACCTGGCGTTGCTCCAAAAATTGAAGCAAAGTGGAGGTGTGGTTGATGTAGCCCCGACCTCGACGAAACCCGACGCGTTCCTCACGAATCTGGCTATCACAAGCCCCGGCCAGCCTGTGGAGAATGACAGACGCAAGCAATTTAAAAGCAATTGCGATCAGTCTGATCCCACGATGGTTGCCGCATCCCGAACGGGAACCTCTTTTGAAAATTGGGATTATGATAAAGCGGCTCCAGTCTGTCGGGACAGTTTCCTGCTTCCAAATTTCCATTAGCAACTCGTGTACATCATTCACATGAGCAGGTCACCCGAATTTGAAGTGGGCTGGAGAAATTATATCTGCCATAACAGTTTTATACAATTTCAACAGCCTGAGCTTGCGTCCGGCTTCTGCGCGTGTGGGCGCAACTAACGAGACAGCCCTTGGATAAGGGCGCTCAATGCCCGAAAGAGAAAGCGATAACGCAGGTTGGTTAAACTGAGTTGCAACGTGTTCGGCCCAATGCTCCAAGCTTTTGGACAAACTGTGAATCGGCTGTCCACTCTTGTCTCGTATGGTCCCGCTATCACCACGTCCCTTGCTGCCTATTTCCCGTATTGGACGGAAAAACTTGCGATGATTACCAAAGGCAGCGGCTGTTTCCATTTCCTAGGCACCAAGAGACCACCAGGCTTTGCGGTCTCTCTTCACACACGAGAGCGTGATCGGAGTCCACGCTATTGTTCCAAATCGAGCGACAGTTTTGGACAAAGCCTCTCCAGCGATAACTAATCGCGATGTGATCAAATTGCGTCCATGGATGGCCCGACGCTGGTGAGAGACAAGTCGCTCTACTGTGGGTGCTATGTCGAAACTTAGTGCACGCAAGAAAGTGTGGAGCACCTTCACACAGGTATATCAAACGCCCACCGTTATCATTAGGGGGCCCTACACAAGGTTGGCCGCCCAGATGAAGCTCAGCAGAGGACAGTTACCCTACTTGCGCCTTTACATCACCATCAAGCACCACAGTATCCGTGCTTCTTCTGTAACGAAGAATATCTTTAAGTTTGTGATAGAAATCATCTTTCACCGAATCAGTTTGTGGAGCGGAAGCCACAATGACAAACAGGCACAGTTTGTCTTCGCGCGACTTCGAATCTTGAAATGAGCCAGCCCACCTAACTTCGCACATCCGGCTGTTGACAAGGATTCAGTCCATCAGGGTAGCTACAGCCCGGGGATTAAAAGCCATGCCGACTCCGGCTTGACCGGCATTCGAAGCTGCGTTATCGCCAGACAGGCGCAATGAGAATATACCGCTAGTGTTACATATGGGGGATCGCAGAGTAAGCAAAGAGCTTGCATCTTACGGGCGGGTTTTCGATAAACGGCAAGTATTGTTCGAGTGGCTCTCTAGTATTCGGGTAAGATCTGCCTGTTGGCCAAGGTGTTTCCAAGTACGTACGTTGAGGCGTGCTAGTCTTAGCGAGACTCGAGTACTCCAAAGGGAAACGGATGAAATGACGTTGTCCGCTTGTTGGAAGATTGGCTTGTCGACTGGGTTAGAGCGAAGCCCTGCGATTGTGTGTGAGTCGAAACTAGAAGACGAGCGACTATTGAAGCCAATTGAGCGAGGACCAAGGACTGGGGGATTGGAAACGGGAGGATGAAAATAGAGTTGTTACGGGAGGCTGAGTATGAAGACACGCAAGAGAAGGAATAAGTAGGCGGAAAGGCCTGAGAAGTAGCATCCAAACCCGTATCTACCCTGCTCAGTGCAGCAGATAGGGCGCCGTTGATTATCCTCTGGGACAGCCAGAGCCTCAACAGATTGTTAGAAAGAAAGGTCATGATGTATTGCGTGGGCAGGATACTGGCAGGTTACCCACGCCTAAACAGGGCAACGTTTCGGGTTCTCAACAAAAGCTTTTGGTGTAAAAAATTACCGCAAGGTAGCGGGGTTTTGACACTGCATTACAAAGCTCGTTTTAGGGAATAAGAAGCTACCCTTACTCTAACACCAAACCTGGAGGACCAGCTGAATGAGCTTGCCTCTAACCATTGTCCCATCTGCTACGAGTGGCTCTGCAGGCTCAAAAAGCACCACCCAGCATAGTTCAATGCATCACTGAGGTAGGCAAACAGTCGCATCACCTTAAGGTCCAGTCCCACATACAAAATAGCAGGTTATGGTCAACTGGATGACTTGCGCATCGCTTAGAGAATGTGTTAGTATTACGACGCCATGCAGATAGCGAAATCAAACGGGTGATGAGACGCTTGTTACAATCGACACAAATGGGAAGTATGTTAAGTATCGTTAGACGCATGGAGGAAATAAAGGCACAAACCATCAGCGAAGCCTCAGACGAAATTGTAGGTGTATGGAAAGTTGAACAGGTGACAGTGTCAGCACACATTAGTGCGGATCAGATAAGGTGATCAAAACATCGGGTTTTGTGAGCACTTGGATTATGGGTACCAAACGCCGAGGAAGCAGTCAATGTCCGGCAGTCACAATGCACCCCAATTTTCAAACTCGCAGCCTGTCCCTGTCATACACCCTCACTTATTTAACCGACTTTATGTTTTACGCATGTAACCCAGCAACTGTGTTAAGGAAGTTGCTCTAATTGCACGATCATTGTTTTCTAGGAGTCGACAAAACCCGCTTGAAAGCACTGAAGGCTGCGACTACTAAGCTAGTCGATCCACTGTCACAGTTCTTCCAAAGATGCTTCGATGAACAGCAAGTCCCCACTATTTGGAAGCGTGGCATTATTACCACAAATTTTAAAGGTAGTAGTCGTTCAGACATTACAAACTATCACCCAATGACTCTCCTCCCTGTGAGTGCGGTAGTAAAAATGGTCTTTGCTGAGGCTCTGATGGACTATCTGGAAAAATGCAATGACGTCACCGGAACTGCATGTCTTCCGTGAACACTGGTCATGCACCACCGACCTGCTAATGGCACGGAATAGTTGGATAGAAGTGGCTAAGGAATCCGAAATCCCGTTCATAGTTTAATTTGCAACCTTCTTCAAGAATGAGGGCTTTAAGTGCGCATTAAGTGATCACCTTCCAACCCGATTGAGGTGGAATGTAGTATTTCACATGGCTCGGTGCTCGGATCGCGCTTATTTCCTGTGTTTATGAACGGCCTGACAATAGTCATCTTCAATGTCCTGCTTTTCGCCGATGATGTCAAGATATGGCGAGATCAAGCTTCCCCAAACATGACCTGGAAGGCATTCATGAATGCTCGACGAGGAACCTGATCCAGTTCAACACAGCTTAGCGAAAGGGGATCCACCTGTCTCACCAGCTGGTGAGCGCGTGCAATCTTGGAGATCATACTTATTAGTAGACCTCTCAGTAGCTTTGGATGTACTGTTACAGGACCATCTTGATTGCTCAAAACAAGCAGACAAGGCGTTGATAACCGTCAATCAACACTGGTATACTTTGCAGAGCGTTCGGTCGTCTTGACCCAACAATGTTCCCACAAATGCATAAGTATGAGGTGTATAGTGCATATGGCAGTATATGTTGCGAAAATAAAATAACTCCAAGAAGACATAAGAACTTACAGATGCAGCCAGGTCGAATTCTGACTACAGCTAACGATCAAAGTGGATAGAACTATAAATTTTATACCAGCCAACGCTAATCACAAAGGAAATGTATGAGAGAGCAAATGCTCGTGGGTCAAAAAATATGCCGTTCTACGATTTTCCGAGAGGACGCAAGAAATATTCACTGCTGAAGTCAATCGTGTCACTTGCATACACGCTCCCATACTAGTTAACTAAAGAAGTGTGGTGGAGACTCAGTCATTTAACTACCAGGCCACAGTAGACTAAAAACATCGCCTGACAATTTCTTGACAGAATTCACTACAGGCAAATTGTTAATGAACAATATTGGGTAATGTTCGACATCACCACTGTCTGCATCTTCGAATAGGAAGGCAGTGAAAGTCCCCAGCCGTCCAAAGAGAAAGGAACAGATAATCAATTGCACATCGCTCTTAAAGGAACAGGTGGTGGGTACTCTGTGCAACAGACGGCAACCGCCACGGGGTGTTGGCAGGAAATATATCCAAAAAACGATTGTCAGTCAGCACCACAAGGGTCGGCGTAAATTCAGAGGAAAACTACGTATGTTCAAATGCGCTACTGGCATGCGCTGCTCTCAGTTGTTTGTATACAAACGCCAAAGCGCTTCTCAGTAAAATAGGAGAAGTTCGATCTCTTCAAACCTCAATGTGTTTGGACCTCATCCTGGTAACAGTGACATGGCTGAGCAACGTATTTACCCACGCCTAGATCACACTACCTGGTATGTCACTCCTGCGAAACGACCGACCTACAAAGTGAGACAGTGAAATTATTTACTAATGCTCCTACCTTATCATCGAGCTCGAAAAACGTCGGGATTAAAATTTTGGACGCCTTATGGTGCTGCATACATTTCAGGTAGAGGGATAGATTCAAGTAGAATGCCCATTTGTTACGTCAAGTTTCGAAAGATAAACAAAACACGAAGCTTTGAGCAAACAATTGTTTTCGATTACTTCTTCATCAGGCTCATACAGTAATATACATTATGTTAACGTCTGCTGCAATCGTTAGTGTAACAAAGAAACAATTGATTAGACAATTTAACTTGTGATCGTGATGGCCTTCATCTGATCACGTGACTGAGGTCAGGTGAATTTGCGGAGTACCATTACTTCCTTCACGGCTGGTGGTCGGCCAGGGAAGTTGTAGTGTTTGTATTAGTTTCTTCTGAACACACAAGTTCGGATTTGTTAGACGTATGCATATTGCCTCAGCGGTGGCGAGTATGCTTGCTCTTAGACGATGATTTTGTCTTGATGGTATTTTGTAGAGAATTTGAAAGGCTGTTCGTTTGTCTATCTGGTGACCTGTGTTTATTAGATGGTTTGTAATCGCACTGTAGTTTGTTCTATTCTCGCGCGTGTAGAGCCAACCTGGCAGGTGTTCCTTAATTCTCTTACCTAGATGCCTGGTCGTCCGTCCAACGTACCTAGCCCCGCACGGGCAGGTGAACCGGTAGATTAACATCGATTGGAGATGATCAGGCACTCGGTCTTTGAATCTCGGAACTAGTAAAGGTTTGCTCGTGAAAATCACATTCAGTTGAGCCGCATTAAAGGTCTTTTTGCAGCTTTGCTGTAGTCGGCGTGTGCATGTTTCAGCCGCACTATTTCCTTTGAATGGAAGTGTCAAGTAAAGCTGTTTCTTTTCAACGGTTTGTTTTGATACTTTTGGTATGCATCGCTTCATATGGGTCTCGATAAATCGCTCCGGATATCCATTTTCGAGAAGCGCCTCTTTGATTCGTGCGAGTTCGGCTTTTATGGTATCTTCGCTGCAGATTTTATATGCCCGATCGGTTAGCGTTCGTACCAGCGTTCTTTTTTGGCTGAGTGGGGCGAAACTATGAAAGTTCATGTATTGTCCAGTCCAATATGGCTTCCTGTATACTTTTCTTTGGATTGATCCATCGGTTCTTCTGATAAGACTTGCGTCCAAAAAATTCATTTGGTTGTTGTTTTCTTCTTCAGCTGTAAATGCGGCATTGGGGTGCGCATTGTTGAAACAGTCGATTATATCTTGGGGTTTGGTGGTCCAATCACTTATACAAATTATATCATCCACATAGCGCCGATAGAACTTCAGACCGGATATGACCTGTTTTAATGGACCGTTTTCTAGCATTCCCATATAAATATCCGCTAACAATGGACCAAGCGGGGAGCCCATTGCAACGCCATCAACCTGTCTATAAAACTCACTATTGAATTGAAATTGAACGTTGTACGTACATCTGAGTATCAGTTCTTTCAGTTGGTTGCTTCCTATACCGATATTTATACCATGCTGGTCAATGTATGAGCACAGGTAGTTAACTGTTTCTATCAGAGGCACGTTGGTAAACAATGAAACAACATCTAAGGAAAACATCCGATGTTCTTGGACATTCATATCTCTAATTTCGTTGATGAACTGGAATGTATCTGCCAGTCTGTGAGGAGCAATCATTTGTCTGATGGGATTCAGCATTTTTGTCAGCCACTGCGCAATGTTGTGGTACGGTGAATTCCTCATATCTAGTATGGGTCTCAATGGTGTGTCAGGTTTATGTATTTTTGGGAGACCATAAAGGCGAGGAGTAATGGTGCCTATGGGACGAAGTCGGTCGTACGTTTCTTTGGTGATGGCGCCGTCGTTCACTAGTGATTTCAAACACTTGATCAATTGATTTTCTACACATTCTGTTTTATCTTTCTGTTGTTCACATCTCACGAAACGTGAAGTGTCCGAGAGTATCATTTTCATTTTCTTGATGTAATCTGCACGATCCATCAGCACAGTCCCAGATCCTTTGTCTGGTTTGGTTATGATGAGATCTTCGTTTTTCTGAAGTTCTCTCAAAGCATCAAGGTGCGCTTTTGTCAGTAGTCGATGGTGTTCTATTGGTTGTCTTTGGTATTGAAAAGAAACGTTGACCAAAGTTGATTTGAACTGTTCAAGTTCCATATCAGAGTTGGCCACCAAGTCGTTCGTCTGCTTGAATAGGTGTTCAAACTGTGTTTCTATTTCAACACGATTGTATTTGTTTTGCGGATGGCTAAATTTTAGACCAAGTGAAAGTGCTTGCAGCTGCAGTCTGTCTAAATGAACACTAGAAAGGTTGTGCACGTATTGTTCTGGAACTGATGGAAACCTGGTTTGACCCTTTGTTTCGCTTAAGTTTTTCTGCATTTTGCATCGTTTCTTGTCTACCTGTTTAGATGTTACGCCTCTCACATAAGTAAGAAAACGGATACGTTCTTCATCGCGGAGGTTATCCAGCGCGGCTTCTGTTTGGGCAACAAGTCGTTTAGTTTCCTCTAGTCTCGTTTTATCTGATTCAATCAGGTTGAGGGCGTGCCGTTTCAAAGTAGCTGCACTGGGTCGGATGTGCTGTCTCCGTAGCGCTTTCCAGAAGGATTTTGGGTAATCTCGCGTTTCGATGCAAAGCCTGTGAAATTCAATGGATGCTTCGGTTTCGGCAAATCTCACGCAGAACTTAATATACCGATTAAGTTCCTTGCGCGTTTGGGCGCATTTGCTGTGTTTCAATTCAAGTAGAATGCCCATTTGTTACGTCAAGTTTCGAAAGATAAACAAAACACGAAGCTTTGAGCAAACAATTGTTTTCGATTACTTCTTCATCAGGCTCATACAGTAATATACATTATGTTAACGTCTGCTGCAATCGTTAGTGTAACAAAGAAACATCCATTGAATTTCACAGGCTTTGCATCGAAACGCGAGATTACCCAAAATCCTTCTGGAAAGCGCTACGGAGACAGCACATCCGACCCAGTGCAGCTACTTTGAAACGGCACGCCCTCAACCTGATTCAATCAGATAAAACGAGACTAGAGGAAACTAAACGACTTGTTGCCTAAACAGAAGCCGCGCTGGATAACCTCCGCGATGAAGAACGTATCCGTTTTCTTACTTATGTGAGAGGCGTAACATCTAAACAGGTAGACAAGAAACGATGCAAAATGCAGAAAAACTTAAGCGAAACAAAGGGTCAAACCAGGTTTCCGTCAGTTCCAGAACAATACGTGTACAATCTTTCTAGTGTTCATTTAGACAGACTGCAGCTGAAAGCACTTTCACTTTGTCTAAAATTTAGCCATCTACAAAAGAAGTACATTCGTGTTGAAATAGAAACACAGTTTGAACACCTATTCAAGCAGACGAACGACTTGGTGGCCAACTCTGATTTGGAACTTGAACAGTTCAAATCAACTTTGGTCAACGTTTCTTTTCAATACCAAAGACAACCAATAGAACACCATCGACTACTGACAAAAGCGCACCTTGATGCTTTGAGAGAACTTCAGAAAAACGAAGATCTCATCATAACCAAACCAGACAAAGGATCTGGGACTGTGCTGATGAATCGTGCAGATTACATCAAGAAAATGAAAACGATACCCTCGGACACTTCACGTTTCGTGAGATGTGAACAACAGAAAGATAAAACAGAATGTGTAGAAAATCAATTGATCAAGTGTTTGAAATCACTAGTGAACGACGGCGCCATCACCAAAGAAACGTACGACCGACTTCGTCCCATAGGCACCATTACTCCTCGCCTTTATGGTCTCCCAAAAATACATAAACCTGACACACCATTGAGACCCATACTAGATATGAGGAATTCACCGTACCGCAACATTGCGCAGTGGCTGACAAAAATGCTGAATCCCATCAGACAAATGATTGCTCCTCACAGACTGGCAGATACATTCCAGTTCATCAACGAAATTAGAGATATGAATGTCCAAGAACATCGGATGTTTTCCTTAGATGTTGTTTCATTGTTTACCAACGTGCCTCTGATAGAAACAGTTAACTACCTGTGCTCATACATTGACCAGCATGGTATAAATATCGGTATAGGAAGCAACAAACTGAAAGAGCTGATACTCAGATGTACGTACAACGTTCAATTTCAATTCAATAGTGAGTTTTATAGACAGGTTGATGGCGTTGCAATGGGCTCCCCGCTTGGTCCATTGTTAGCGGATATTTATATGGGAATGCTAGAAAACGGTCCATTAAAACAGGTCATATCCGGTCTGAAGTTCTATCGGCGCTATGTGGATGATATAATTTGTATAAGTGATTGGACCACCAAACCCCAAGATATAATCGACTGTTTCAACAATGCGCACCCCAATGCCGCATTTACAGCTGAAGAAGAAAACAACAACCAAATGAATTTTTGGACGCAAGTCTTATCAGAAGAACCGATGGATCAATTCAAAGAAAAGTATACAGGAAGCCATATTGGACAGGACAATACATGAACTTTCATAGTTTCGCCCCACTCAGCCAATAAAGAACGCTGGTACGAACGCTAACCGATCGGGCATATAAAATCTGCAGCGAAGATACCATAAAAGCCGAACTCGCACGAATCAAAGAGGCGCTTCTCGAAAATGGATATCCGGAGCGATTTATCGAGACTTATATGAAGCGATGCATACCAAAAGTATCAAAACAAACCGTTGAAAAGAAACAGCTTTACTTGACACTTCCATTCAAAGGAAATAGTTCGGCTGAAACATGCACACGCCGACTACAGCAAAGCTGCAAAAAGACCTTTAATGCGGCTCAACTGAATGTGATTTTCACGAGCAAACCTGTACTAGTTCCGAGATTCAAAGACCGAGTGCCTGATCATCTCCAATCGATGTTAATCTACCGGTTCACCTGCCCGTGCGGGGCTAGGTACGTTGGACGGACGACCAGGCATCTAGGTAAGAGAATTAAGGAACACCTGCCAGGTTGGCTCTACACGCGCGAGAATAGAACAAACTACAGTGCGATTATAAACCATCTAATAAACACAGGTCACCAGATAGACAAACGAACAGCCTTTCAAATTCTCTACAAAATACTATCAAGACAAAATCATCGTCTAAGAGCAAGCATACTCGCCACCGCTGAGGCAATATGCATACGTCTAACAAATCCGAACTTGTGTGTTCAGAAGAAACTAATACAAACACTACAACTTCCCTGGCCGACCACCAGCCATGAAGGAAGTAATGGTACTCCGCAAATTCACCTGACCTCAGTCACGTGATCAGATGAAGGCCATCACGATCACAAGTTAAATTGTCTAATCAATTGTTTCTTTGTTATACTAACGATTGCAGCAGACGTTAACATAATGTATATTACTGTATGAGCCTGATGAAGAAGTAATCGAAAACAATTGTTTGCTCAGAGGGATAGATGCCAAGTGGCCATTGTATACCGCCCACCAATGTCTACTTTAGGAATGGATCTGTCCCTGTCTTACGCTATGAAACATCTACTGGAACGACTTTACAGCCTTCTTCTCCTTGTAGGGGAATTCAAATTACACGGCTCAGAAACCGTGGCCACTCTGGGTGAACAATTCAAGGCGGTTCTGTGAGAGCTAATCTCTGGTTCACCGCTGTACAACCAGGTCACTTCTCCAACGCGTTTCAGGACAGGAAACAGACCGGCCATCTTGGACCTCTTTTTACCAACTAAGGAGTTATGATCGACGCAGTAATGACGTGCACTCCTTTGGGCCGCAGAGAGCAAGCGACCACAGTTTTCCAACGCTTGCGCTACGCAGAGTCCCATAAAGAAAGTAATGAGCAGTCTTACCTCGTAACCAACTATGATAACCTGCCCGAACTCATTAGTGCGAGAAGCTGGTCATTCCTATCTGAATAGTCCTCGTAAATAACCTACGGGGAACTTGTCAATAGATTTGACAAGCTCGTGGCCAATGCATCTGAAAAAATTCCACCGACGCAGAAAGATGAAGTCTTTCGTAAGGAGCAGGAACCAGAAATTTATAAAGTTGATGGACTTGGCATGGCTTGTTCATATATCCTCTCCAAAGGTGGATAGTAGGAATGTCTACACAACACAAAGGAACCAATGTGTCAAACTCCTCCGGGAGGATAAAGAACTAACAAGACCTTGTAGTAAAGTTTTGCTCTAACCCTAAGCTGCTATAAAGACACATATACAAACTTCACCGCGTTAAGCGCGGAATTCCAGCTCTGCACATAACGTGAAACGACACAAGATGCGGCCAGCACACTTTGACAAAAGTTGACCGTACCTTTCAGTGTGTAACCATCGTACACTATGCCTACGCAGCTAATGCCGCCATCAGGCCTGAACTAAATATCTTTCACATCTGCAGCTGTATTGGAGCGGCTGATGTGCTTGCGCGAATACAGATCCCCGGGTGCGGACAGCATTTCCCTGAAGGCGTTGAAAGTTGCCCCCTTGAGCTTAGCTAGACCGTTAGCAACACTCTTTCAGCGATGTTTTAATGAGATGCACGTCTCCAAGATGTGGAAGCACAGGATAATCAGTCCAATCTACAAAAGCTGTGGCCGTGCAGAACCAGCGAATTATCGTCCGAATTCACTTCTTCTGGCGATCTCAAAAATCATAGAGTCCATTTTAGCTGTGGGGCTGATGGAGCACCTGGAGTATAACAAGATCGTCTATCCTGAGCAGCACGAATTTCGCCAAAATCGGTCCTGCATTACCAATCTTTTGATAGCTCCTGCAAGCTGGATGGAATCTGTGGACGCCGACGTAAGTTCATGTTCAAGTGGTAGTGGATGCAGCCTACCTGAATCTCGCAAACACGTACGACCGCCTGAATCATCGCATTCTACTGCATAAAGTTTTAAATGATTTTATCGTCGATCCCGTTCTAGGATGGTTAAGCGACTTTCCCTTTCAACATCACTTGAATGTGCGGGTTAGCAGAACCCTGTCGGAAACAATGGAAGTTCGGTGCGGTGCTCCTCATGTCTCGGTACTCGGACCATGCCTGTTCCTGGTTTTCATAAATGATCTTGCAACTGTGCTGTCTTAAAACTATCTGCTATGTACAGATGATCTGTAGATATGACGTGCTATCGCCTCAGTGGAAGATGATCACACAGCCCTACAGAATGACCTGAACAAAGCATATACATGGTCTATCGAGAACATGATGCGTTTCAACGACACCAGGTGCAAAATCTTGAGCATATGCCATCCGAGTACTCAAAACTAACTCATAGGACAAGAAATTCTACAACCAGCTTCTCATGGGTGCGATCTCGGTGTTCTTGTACAAGAGGAGTTCGTGTGTTTAAGGCAGGCTGAAAAGGTCTCAAAGTAAACAAACCAACACATCGGGGTTTTGCATAAAGCTTACGGGGAGGTTGACGCCTCAAACTCACCGAAGATACTTGGCGCGTACCTGAGACTGCACACGAAATACGTTATTCAAACTTGGCAACTCTGGCAGAAGCAGTACCACACCACGCTCGGTACCCGCACAACGCAGAGCGACAGAGAATGTTAGAGGTTTGTCCCACCTTCCCTTACCACTCAGGCTGAAAACCCTCAAAATATACAGGGGACGTTACCGGCGTCTAAGAAGCGATCTCATATTGGTGTACCAGATTCTGTGGAAACCCAACCACACATGCCGTTCTCGTGAGCAACTCAGTCACAACACGTCTCTAAATGGTCATAAGTTTAAGCTGGTCACGCAATACAGCCGACTGCAATGTCGAGGAAAATTCTTCCCCCTGCTAGTGTCACAGCCTTGAAACGCCCTTCCGGAACGTGTAATTAATGCTCCAACTTTATTCCTTTAAAACAAACGTTTTGACGATGCTCTAATACACTACGTGATATAGTC